TTCTAGATGAACTTGATCAGAGGGATTCTTCAATCCATGAAATAACACCTGTCAGTTATGAGACAACTGCTGAGAACACTGTTGCACTAAGAAGGAGTGCTAGAACCAGACATCCTCCTACATGGATGTCAGACTATGTAGTGGAATTATCAGAAGATGAAGAAGCAAATTTGTTCTTTTCTGAAGTGGATAAAACAGTTTCAGAACCTGCTTATTATGAACAAGCTGTTGGTGATAAAAGATGGATAGAAGCTATGAAAAAGGAATTGGAGGCTTTGGAGTCCAATAACACATGGATTCTTACAACATTACCTCAAGGGAAAAAGGCCATTGGATCCAAATGGGTTTATAAGGTGAAAAGGAATCCAAATGGAACAATTGATAAATTTAAAGCAAGGTTGGTGGCTAAAGGATATCTACAGAAGGAAGGAATAGATTTTGTTGATAGTTTTTCTCCAGTGGCTAAATTGGTTTCTGTAAGGATGATCATAGCCTTGGCTTCACAGCAGTCCTGGGAACTACATCACATTGATATTGATAATGCCTTCCTACATAGATTTCTTGATGAGGAAGTGTACATGTTGCCTCCAAAAGGTTATGATAAAGCTAAAAAGGGTCAGGTTTGCTTGCTGAAAAGAAGCTTATATGGATTGAAACAAGCATCTAGAAAGTGGAATATTGAATTTTCAGACAAGCTAGTGGCCTATGGCTTCAAGCAGTCACCTCATGATTATTGTCTCTTTTTCAAACATTCTGGGAAGAACCTCCTTGCTTTATTAATCTATGTAGATGATGTCTTGATCACAGGAGCTTCTTTGACAGACATTGAACAACTCAAGCAATATCTTCATCATCTTTTCACCATTAAGGATCTTGGGCAGGCAAGGTACTTTCTTGGTCTTGAGATTCACAGAACTTCCACAGGTACTTATTTGAGTCAGAGAAAATATATATTGGATATTATACATGATCTTGGGATGGATAATTCTAAACCTGCAGTTACTCATCTACCACAAGGGATAAACTTATCTTCTTTGCAGTCACCATTGTTTGATAATCCTGAAAGGTTTAGGAGATTGGTGGGAAGACTCTTTTACCTCAATCTATCCAGGGCAGATATTTCATATCCTGTGCAGCAATTAACTCAATTTGTCCACGCACCTACTCACAGTCATTGGACTGCTAGCCTACATCTTCTCAGGTACTTAAAAGGAACACCAAATCTGGGACTTTTTTATGCTGCCATTCCTTCTGTGAAGTTAGAAGCTTTCTGTGATGCTGATTGGGGGAGCTGCGCACTTACTAGAAGGTCTTTGTCTGGCTATTGTGTATTTTTGGGGCAAGCACTCATATCTTGGAAAACAAAGAAACAAAGGACCGTGTCACGGTCTTCAGCAGAAGCTGAATACAGAAGTATGGCCACAACTGTTTGTGAGTTACAGTGGCTCACATATTTGGCTCACGACTTGGGGATCACACTCTCTACACCTATTTCTTTATGGTGTGACAACCGTGCCGCTCTTCACATCACAGCAAACCCTGTTTTCCACGAGCGCACGAAACATCTCGACATTGACTGCCACGTGGTGCGAGACCAATATAAAGCTGGTCTCATCCTGCCTATGCACATCTCTACAACTCTTCAAGCTGCTGATATATTTACTAAGTCACTTGGAAGTGGTGATTTCTCTCGGTTTCTTTGCAAGTTGGGAATGCGTTTGACACCCCACATTCCCACTTGAGAGGGGGGTGTTGGAATTATGAAGTTTTTTCTACAAAGAAAGTGAAGTGAAGCAATGAAAGGCAGTGCATGGAATTTTACTGCATGTGTTTTGTTTGTTTGTCGTTTTTTTGTTTCTTCTAAGAGTCGCATATCACTTATAAGCTCGCGTTTTATCGCGTCCTTTTCCTCTTTTATTTTTCTGCATTTATTTGGCACGTGCCCCCCCTTTGTTGGAGCACGTGTATGCTTTGTACTGGTCATTATGGCCAAACATGAACTCGTCGTGTGTAATTCTGAGATTTGAAATTAGTTGAACGTTCTACAGAGCTTCGAGCTAAGAACAAAAATGGCGTTTTGATTTTTTGGCTTTTATGTGTGAATTTTCCTTGAATCTAGATCTCAGCTTTCTCTACACTTACCATATAACTTGGTGAACATATATTTTTTTTTTGGTACAGGGACCTTCCGGTTTCCGGATCCACAGGGAAACCGACTAATCCGGAATCGAGCCGGGTAGGACTACAAGAGCGGCAAAGCTCTCCCTCAAGAGTTTTAACATATTAACTCTAATCCACCACAAAGAAAAGACTCAAGAAACATATCGTCTAGAATATGGATAATCATAAACAAGACTATAAACGAGCAGGCTCGATTCATTAGCTAAGCAAGTTAGTGATCTGAGCCAGATATCTCAGCTTGTTTATAAGTATAAACGAGTCGAACTCGAACCTTAACTAGTCGAACTATAAAAAAAAATTATATAAAAATCTCTTTCTGAGTATTAATGAGCTAGCTAATCTAGCTGGACTCAAAACGAGCTTTATACGAGTTCAACTCGACATAAACGAGCCGAACTAAGTTTACGAGCGACTTGTTTCGTTCAACAGTTATAGTGATAAATCAAATACCCGTGGTAAAATAATTTTCATGGACAACCACATACCTTTCGAAAAATACTATATATATATATATATTATGTGCTTAAATTTCAACTAGAGCTTGCCAAAAGAGCTTATACAACCATTTGAATATCCCGTAGCTAGTTGATTCTATGGACATTCAAAAAGGTTAAAAAAAAAACCCTCAAATATAGACAAAACTATCCTCTTAATAATTCTACATGTACAAAAGAGACGGGCCCACGAGTGAGTGAGAGATTCGGACATGTCAAGAAGATGGAGACAAAAAGGAAAAAAGATAGGGAATATGAGCTTGCAAAAACATTGAAATATCGAAAAAAGAGCAGACACAAAGTGATGTATAAATCCTCAAAAGAAGCGGTAGCTATAGTGTTGTTACTATTAGATCTATATATTATACAAAAGCTTCACAAGGGTACATAATGCTATATTCCGGTACTATAGTGTGTTGTTTGTGCCTTCGTTTTCGGGTTTGTGCTTGTTGTGCGCCTCTCGCTTTCTTTGCGTGCCTTCGAAAGAACGATAAAAAGGGGATGCATATAAGAAAATCGAAGTGTATGTGATGTCAAATTCATGTCAAGTACGGTTTTCTTGTTCTGTGGGATTTGTCACCCAAATTTAGACTAGTAGCAATCAAGAAAAAACATTCATCTTTGACCGTTGCTTGTGCTTAAATGGCTTGAATCAAATCGGAATTTAGTCTTCCTTTACTATATATATCTAATTTTGGGGAGATGCTACGGTCTCGTATGGAACCATTCTGTCGGGATTTGTAACTGTTAGATCAACTATCTAAGACGGTTACATAATGATCTAACGGTTACAAACCCGACGGAATGGTTCCATAACGAGACCGTAGCATTTCTCATCTAATTTTGATAAGTTTTAAAAGTAGTATCATAGCTATACACTAAAAAAAAACTCTCACATTCCAACGGAAAATTTCAGTTAGAATTCTTTATATTTTCCGTTGGAATAGCTATTCCGACGGATATTCCTACGTATAAAAATTCGGGGAAAAAACGGCCGTTAGAATAGCTAAAATCCAACGGAAAATCCTATTGAAATAAATTCCTACAACTATTCTAACGGAAAAATCCGTTGGAATTCTTCAACCATCCAACACTTATTCCAACATAAAATTAAGTTTGTTGGAATATTCATTGCAATTTCCAACAGAAATTTTTGTCGTTGAAATTTTTCGTTGAAATTGTAGTGTTTTTTTGTAGTGATAGTTATATCTTTGAGGTCTGTTTGGTTGTCTATATAGGGCTTGATATCATATATTCATAAGTGTAATTTGTATTTGTTTTGTTGAATATGATAAAGTTCATAGTTAATTTTTTTATTTTTTTATTTTTTTTATTTATTTTTTTTATCTCACATATATGGTCAATACCATATCAAGGCGTTTAAGGTGGGTGAGCAAAACTACCAATTTACCCCTTTTTGAATTTCAAATATGACAGAGAATTATTAATGTGATAACTGTTAAAATATCATTTATGCGTTGTTTCACATTGTTTATATATGAAAAATAGACTTAATTTATAAGCCTAGTAAGTTACTCCTCCTTTCACCAATTGATATTAGGATGAAATCTACTTGGGATTTATATGGCGGTTCATCTTGTTATTGTGCGTTTCATTTGCGTGGGACCGCACCCATTTTACTCAGATTCTTACAATAATATGTATACTTATTTTTACTTTCGTCTAGTTAAGATGTTGTTCATTCCTTATTTCCCGTGTAACTTGATTTATAATTTTGTTTTTGCAACTTTTATGTTCCTTTATTTTATTTTATTTTTTTTCTTTACTAAATTGGTTTAGTGCTAAAAATCGACCCTTAATGTCACATAGAAACATCAAAAAAAATAAGGTGATTGGATAGGAAAAATATTAAAAAAAACACACTATTTTCGAAATTAATTATTAATTTGGATTTGAACCATACTAGATAACTAGTACAGATCCCGTGCGATGCACGGGGTGCACAAAATTAAGGCTATTTATCAAATATTATAGTTATATAAATGAATAAAGAAAAATGTACGGGATATATATAGTACGTGACC